GCCAAGAAAGTTGTTATGCATTATAATTTCAGGGGTTCTCAACCTTGGCAACTTTAAGACTTGTGGACTTCAACTCCCAGAATTCCTCAGCCAGCAAAGTTGCCAAGGTTCAGAACCCCTGCTTATATTGTCAAATTCTGTTTCCTAATCAGTTATCACCAGCTCAGATGACATCTATTTATATGTCAAGCTAGAAATATTTTTCGAGTAAGTTCCTGTTTGACCATGCTGCATATTTTATTATATATTTACCCATTTTAGAGAGCTTCATGAATTTGTTTTACTTTGCATGTCTCTGAGGGCATCAGCAAACTTGGCCAGTTTACTGCTAATTCCTAGTTCTTAATTCAATATGTAGAAATTATTACCACAATATTTAGGACTGGGATGCTTTTGATATAGCAGGCTAGAAATTACTATCCTAAAATGCACACATGTTCTTCAGTCTGGTTTATTTCAGTCTTATCTATCAGAAGCCAGCTTTATTATTCTTCCACCAAAGTCTATAATTCTAGAGGAATAAATAATGAGTCCTGGATTTTTTACATGTTCTTTAAGTTAGCAGATTTTAGGTATCTTGATTTAAAAATCGTTGGAGTATAGCTGTTTGGGCTAACTTGCAAGTACAAACAGATAAACACAATGAGTGTTTTAGTAGTATATAGATAGGTAGATCTGAAGACCCAGTGCAGCTTATAGAGGCAATAGAATTATCTCTCTTTTATTCTTTCTGTGAATTATACACCTTAAATCTATGTCACAAATTGCTTTTAAAACTTGGCAATTTCAGTTACAGGTTAATTGCAGCAAAATACCAAGGTATAATTTAGTGCTGGCATTAAAATAATTCCTTTTAGAAAGCTCTGTGTTTCATAGATTCTTATTGTGAAGATAAGAAATATACGTTGCCTGAATAAAATAGTATTACAACTGTACTCAATATACTAGAATTTTATTGTTACTAAACATGTAGAGGATATCTTGAGCCTGTATTTATGACTATATGTGTGTTAATTTATGGAGAGTATACCTATTAAAGTGGGAACCCCCAACAAATATGAAATTCCAAAATGATGCTTTTATAGCAATAGCCTTTCCTTTTATTAATTAACATAACCTTACATGATACTGTCAGCTGCAGATGGCCAAAAATTCATAAACCTATGAAGCAGTACAGACTGACTGAATTGTCCTCTGATTGTGGTTAAACTAGCAACATTTCCCAATGGTTTCCGTATCATTTTGCTACTTCAGTTTCAGTGAGTTCAGAGCCAGGGGATTTCCTGCTCATTTCTCTGCCCACCTAATCATATTTTCTCTCTTTCTTGCCAACAGAAGAAAAGCACTCCTGCAGACTTGTAAATATTTAATGCAGAATTGTCCCCAGAGCCATTATCAGGTGCTATCCTGTAGGAGACTCTTTAAATGTGAAAGAATTAATGATTTGACATCTTCAACAGGAGCAGTCTTTCACCAGCTCCATTCCTCTGAGCAGCATACCACAGAGTCGAAGATGCCTACAGAACTATGGCCTACCAAGCCATAAAACTGTACAGAACAAAAACATAAGATTTCTTTTGAGATGAAGGCTTGTCGTTGTCAGATTAAGTGGCCCGAGCTGTCTCTCTTGAACTGTCTTAGTGTATTATAATTTGTTTAATGTGACACTTTAAGTGAGGGAATCCTTTTTGGATCGGAATGCTGTGCTTCCTATGCTTTTGCTTTCCTCTCAAAGAGGCCAGTTTAGTATGCTCCTATCAGACACAAAGCTTTGGATTCTAAACACTTTGACAGAGTGAAAGTGTTTGTATATGTGTGTGCAGAGACATCCGTGTGTGTTATCTATTGCCTCAATTTGTATGGATACATCATCTACTACTACCTTCCATATCTTGTCAAAAAGCAAACAAATTACTGTGAGTTCCATATTCAGAATGGCTTTTGGAACTATCTTCAGAATCTTTACATCTTCTGTTCATGATGCGATAACAAAATCTCTCCATATATCAGCACATTTTTATGATTCATCTCCTCCATTTTTTCATTAATAATGTGGAGACATTGCTAATGGGCTTCAGGTTACCACTTTCGATTTTTGTATATCAAACACACGTGCTTGCATAAAGATAGAGAAATTCTAATAGAAATGACTGGAAATCTCAAAAAGAAAAGGAATATTTCTAATCTCCTTCTGCTCGTCTCATTTAAGATGTTCTTACATTTACTGTAAGTTGGGAAAATTAATACTTTAAGGGAGAAACACCTAGGATATGATACCCAGCTTCTTTTGGAAATGGCTATAAGAAGTCTTACCTTAGATGAGTGTGCTATGAGTATAGCCAAATGCTTGTGTTCCTTTTCAAAGGATTTGTTAACAATCCTGAAGAATATCTATGCATCTTTCCAGTTACTGTATCCTAAAAAAGAAGGGTTTCCATACTGTATATAATTGACTAAACAAGTTTACTTCCTTTCTAACTGGGATGTATCCCATTATAAAATATCATTTTACCAGAATGCAACCTGCTATACCTCTGTTCACCTTTTTGGAGAACAAACTTTCATTCCTTGCTTTCCTTTGTGTGAGATTTTTTTTTCCTGACAAGGCACCTTACTTCCAAAGTAAGTATTTTTATTTTATTTTCCAAGAAAGCTGGCAGAAACAGCATTTGCCAGCTTTTGCTGTTTTAATCAGGACGTCACCGTGTCATAGCACAAGCTCCTTTAGAATTATGGGCAACATTGCAACACAGATAGTGTAGGGTAGAAATGTGATGCAATGCTGCAACCATGCTATGGTTTCATGCACACACACCATTTCCTGGAAATGCTGCTAGTTGATGGTCCATTTGGGAACCGTTGGTTGAAATAATGCTAAAGCTCTTGTGTTGCTTTGTAGCATGTCATCCTGTTTCTGGGTCTCTGTCTCAAAGACATGAAAGGTCAAGTAGGCAAAAGCCCTGGGGGCCTCAAGGGAACTGCCAGCAGGCACTTCCAGGCTTCATGTTGGGGGCTCAAGCCCTGGCACATGTTAAATTAATTAACACATTTTTTTGGTATTTTAATGATTTCATCATTCCTTCTAATGATATGCAGAAACCGCTTTTAAACATTCATCTCCAGTAAGGACTTTACCTTTGAGTAGGCTCCCCCTGTGGAAAGCAACTTTTTTCTGTCCTTCTCTTTGCTCTGTCAATAAGTTAAGTGCTAAGTTATCCTTAATGTTGATAATAGTGCGATGCTTTTAGGTATATGACCACCTGGGCAGACCTTTCGACTCATTTAGCATAAACATCAGCAGGAGGGGGAAAACTCTTTCCGAGACAAGAATCATTAGGGTGTTCCTCAATAATGCTTTCCTGTGGTTAAAATAATGACAGTTGCCTCCCTATTCACCAAATACTTACATTTTTAATGCTACCACAGAGTGTCTGCCACACTCTGGAGGTGAGTTAGATGCTGCTTCTTGCAAGGTTGTTTGCATGATGGAAATATAACAAGAGATGGAATCCACAGAATTGGAAGAGAGAAAAATCCAGAAAATAGAAGTAGTTAAAATTCATTTCTGTTATATGAATTTTTCTCACTTTCCTCACATTTGATTTTCTTGAGACTTCTAGGGGCATTTAGTTCTCTAACCTTTCAGTCTGGGTTAGATCAAAAGCAGAGTGAAGAGACAAGATTGAGGAAGGAAGGAAGGAAGGAAGGAAGGAAGGAAGGAAGGAAGGAAGGAAGGAAGGAAGGAAGGAAGGAAGGAAGGAAGGAGGGAGGGAGGGAAGGCTCCATTAAGCTCCCAAATACCAAGTTTTGCTTGTATAGCACAGGCTATTTTAGACATCTTACTGTTAGCTAAATAATAAACCAACAAACAAAAAAGATGGGGATTCACAGTTCACAAAAATGAGGAAGAAAGACTCTTAAGGGCTATAAAAATGAACTTAGATAAATAGAAGACAGACACAGATTGCTGTATCTCTCCCAGGCTCTTTATTTTGATCTTGTTGTGTTTTATTTCAGGGTAGAAAGATTCTTTCAAGGCTGCTTGTGCATGTTGGTTTGTATGGATCAATAGAGCAGCATAAAACCACATCAGTTCAATGTAGCATTTCACAGGGAAAAATAAGAATATAAAACAATCAGTAGCAGTTTAAAAAGCCAGACACTGTTAATTAAACATTGTAAGAAAACAGAATAACAGGTTTTAATGCTTTTTAGCTGGAGGGAGAGCCAAATGTTCGTTCTTCGGGCAGGAGTTTCACAAAGAGGCAATCATCTTGTTACTAAGCATGAGTACTTTAATCTTGCAAAGCCCCAGCCTGCAGCCCTGGACATATGCAACCCTTCACGGTTTGTTTCATATTATTACTGATCACATATCATCCAAACTAAAATGAATGTACTTCTTTGAATGAACAGTAACAAACCAATTTGAGGTTGAGAAATTTTGAGAAGAGAGAGGTTCATGAAGATTTTGTTCTGAATAGAAAATACTGCAGTAACTTTCATCCACTTCAGAACTTTTTTCCCTGCCAAATATGGAAGGAAATTTAGAAGTGCATAAAGATGACATTTATTTCCCCATTGTTGAAAAAAATCACTGTGAAAGTATCTTAAGAGCAAAAATAAAAGCTATGCTGTACATGAAAGGAAATTGAGAGAATAAGGAAAATTACATTTGATTCAGCCATGGAGCAAATTTTCTCCTTTGTAAATCTTGTGTGCTTTAAATTTAAAACTATTTGACCTTCATGTCCTCGAATAAAAGAAGGCAACATTCTAAAGGAGGTGGGATATGAATGTAAGCAATGTCTGTGGAGATTCTCAGTCATCCAGGTCATGGTCTTAGTCAGAACTGAAGAAGCTACTTGGATGAAAAGCGAAACGTCTTCAGGGAAAGACAAAGTCCAGTTGCCTTTTGAAAAAACACCTTTCGGAATGTAAACCATATTGATCTTGCCTTTGCTCTTTATGTATGCTAGTTTCTCTTTTTGCCATTCCAGGTACTATGCCATCTGCTGCCAGCCATTGGTTTACAGGAATAAGATGACTCCACTACGCATTGCTTTATTGCTGAGTGGCTGCTGGGTAATCCCAATGTTTATTTCTTTTCTTCCTATAATGCAAGGCTGGAATAGTATTGGCATCATGGACTTGGTGAGTAGATCTCAGTTGCCTGATGTAAAACCTATTCCAGGTCAAAATGAGAAGACTTTTATTTTGCCTACAGCCCTGTTTAATCTTGAATGATTGTATATCATTATTATTGATTTATGACTGAAGGTGAATATACATGTCCCAGGATAATGTTCCAATCTGGGTCAGTCACCAGAACCAGACCTTTTAGTCTTCCAAGTTTTCAGACACTTGCTGAAAACCATCCTCAGGGAACCTCTCTCTAGCAGAGTGTGCACTTTGGGCCTGTTGTGTGTGGCTGTTGTGTGTGGCTTTTTATTGATTTAAATATAAATTACATAAATTATAAATGTATATATTTCCCATTCTAAGCTAGCTTTTCTTAGCCTTTTTCCCTTGGAGGAACCCTTGAAATAATGTTCAGGTTTTATAAAAATGGCAACCAATATTATAATTTCACAATACAATTCACTTCGAACCTACACAGTCCTCCTTTTGCAATTTCTACCACAATATAAAGCAGCAGGCCAGCAGTTGAGTCATGGTGTGCAAAAATCCCCATCACTCTGAGCACTGGCCTTATGTACTAAGCAAAGTTTATTTTTTCAGTGATGTTTTCTCATAGTGACTTCTTATGGAAGTCTTGGATTCCATACAAAGTCCCACTTATGAAAAACTGCTCTAGGCTCTCGGTATTATGCATAATTTGAAATTCTATGATTGAAGAAAATTGCAAAAAAGAACAATAAAAATATTTTTGAAGCAAGACATATTAATGTTGATTAGTTCTATAGATGACTTTAGTTTAGTTAAAGTATATCCCAGTAAGATTTGACCTAAACTAACCTCTGGGGGGGAGGGGGGAGCATTCAAACTTTTTAAACTTTCCATTTAATCCATGTTTGTAGCTGTTTACATTAAAACTAGCACAGGCTCTGGTTAGAACAGGTGATGGATCTCATGTGACATTCTGACTTTTCTAAATAATTGTTAGGGTTTTTTGAACTTTTGATTATTATAGTGTTTTTATTGTATTTTTACTGCATAAACTACTCAGAATGAGCCTACACATTTCATAAATAATGTAAAAAATAATAAATGTTACTATGATCCTCCAGTCCAAATATTTCAAAATGTTTCCAGATAACTTACACCATCACTTTTGGGTAGCTAAATTTTTTTACATATCGTAGAGCTGAGTAAATGTACCACCCAAAATGTACGTTACTTGCATTTTTTTAAACAGCTTTAATCAACAGACACATTTTTCAACTTGCTGTTCTCTGCTATTTGCGGCTCACTGTAATTTGAATGATTACTATAAACTTGATTCCTTAGTTGTGAAATGATTTAAATGACAATGGAAAGTTTGTTCACTGAATTCTAGAACTGAAAATGTCTGTAAAGTTAAAGTACATTTAGTCCATACCAGTACTCTCTGTTTATTCATTTTGAAATGTTTGATTAATAGTAAAAGAGTTAAAACAAGGCTGGAACATTCAATACCTCAGAGACATTTTACTACCTTTAGATCTGTTGTTATAAGCTCTGGTATTCTTTTTGGCCACAAAAGGTATAAAGTAGTATCTTATAACTCTGAGGTCAAAAGCACCCCAAAATATTAGTGAAATTGTAAAATAATTTCTTTCTCAAGCTTCCGTCCAAGACTCAGGTGGAACAATAGGAAAGCCTGGACTTCTCTAATTGAATATGTTCCTGTTGTATTCATTTTATACTTAATTCTATCACGGGAGATATTGGTTATATAAGATAAACGTCTATTTGAACAGAGGTAGATCTAAAGATGCTTTCTGCAAGAGGACTTCCTTAAAGCATAATCCTTTCAGGTCAAGAATAGACAACTTGTCCACCTTATCTGCCTTTCTGTATTGTTAGTATGCCCTTTGGAGGGAAAAAGTCCTGGATACATAATAACTGTAATAACATTATTGTATGCACAAAGATGAAAAGATTTGGCACTACTTACAATGGAGGAATGGTTAGTGAAGATGATGAAAAAAGATGGCTTTCACTTCTTTGATAAAAGAAAATACAATATTTATATTTATTGCTCCCATATGGACCTTTTGCATGATAAACAACCATTTTTTACTATTAGACTTAAAAGAAAACAATAGTTAAATGAACAGTGCTTTGAATGCTGAGTCACACAGCATACAGTCCATGGAAGAAACATTAATTCTTATATACAGTATATCCTGGATATCTCTTGTCCTCTGTTAGGCATACAGGATGATTGACTACACACACGCAGCATTAGGCTGCTTCCCAGAACATTTTAGTAGATCCATTGTTCAAATAAAACATTTGCTTCATTAATCCTCTCCCTACTTTCCATTCTTTTCTGAAAGTTTGTTTTCTGAAGTTATTGCCTGACATTGACAGTATTCCAACTCTCATGATAATTGTTCTCTAGATGAAGGATTCTAATCCACAACAAAGTGTCAATAACACATGAGAGGCAATATTAACTCTTTTCATGAGATACGGATCTGATGCAATTTTTGTCTAATTCTTAGAGTTCATAGTAATCTAGTAATCATGCAGATTCTATAGCTTTTGAGATTTTTTTTTTTTAAAAATCACCCTATCTGTTTCAGGCAATCATAAACAGATGGAGAAAAGTTCTGAACCGGTTTCCTGGTTTCAAATGTATTGAAATCACAACTCCAAAAATTCTGCTCCAGCATGCAGTAACTGAATGAAACAATACTAATATTTTGTATCAACTGAATGAAACAATACTAATATTTCATGTCAATTGTACTGCAATAGTTATCACTTATTTAATGTGTAGAATAGTCTTTTCTAGCATGCTACCTCCAAAATACCCTGTAGATATTTTGAAACCATAGTTTCCAGATCTTCATTTTACATCAGTGGCATTCACTACAATAAAATGCAATATTTTCCTTAAAAACTTATAGCATTTAATTTTATTTCTCTTCTATCCTTTCCTATCACCAAAACTATATACTGGACAATAGAACAGATTTTTACACACTCAAAAAATAATCATCCAGAGTTGCTCAAAATCTGGTGCCATAAAATTTTAATAAATTATTAGTATTAATTGCATTTTATTTGTTCCCCCGTTTTGATATTTTAGTACTATATTTTCTTTCTGCCATAGTTCAAACGTTGCTGAAAATAGAGGAAACATTCAAGAGAATTAACAGCGGTGGGGAAATGCCATGAATAGGACAAATCATAATTATGAAAGAAAAGAATGGGCTAATTTGTGAGACAAAAATTGTATTAGAGATTGCTGAAGAAAGATGTTTGATGCTAACCTCATTTGTACACATGGCCAAATGAAGCTAAAAAAGAACATTTTATTATCAGGGATATTTGTGTAGGCTTCTAACATTTCTGTGCTTTTTTTTTTTTTTGATTCACCTCTTCAGGTGGAAAAAAGGCAATTCAACAATGCATCCAACTCAACTTACTGCATATTCATGGTCAACAAGCCGTATGCCATCACCTGCTCAGTCGTAGCCTTCTACATTCCATTTCTGCTAATGGTTCTAGCCTACTACCGAATATACATTACAGCCAGGGAGCATGCTCACCAGATACGAATCTTACAGCGTGCAGGGGCACCAACTGATGGGCGACCCCAACATCCAGACCAGCATAGCACACATCGTATGAAGACTGAGACTAAAGCTGCAAAGACCCTCTGTATCATCATGGGTTGTTTCTGCTTGTGCTGGGCGCCTTTCTTTATCACAAACATAATAGACCCTTTCATACATTATGCAGTTCCTGATCAGATATGGACTGCTTTCTTGTGGCTGGGATACATCAATTCAGGACTGAATCCCTTCCTTTATGCATTCTTGAACAAGTCTTTCAGACGTGCCTTCCTCATCATCTTGTGTTGTGGTGATGAACGATATCGAAGACCTTCCATCTTGGAACAAACGGTACCTTGTTCTACCACTACCATCAATGGATCAACTCATGTACTGAGGTGAGTTCAAGTCTATCTACTTTGATGGAAGCTTAAAGAATGTTTGAGAAAATATTTTTCCTAACTATATTTTAGCTGTGAGTCTATGAATTCATAAAGGAAAGCTAAGATTTTTACTTTTCAGAGAATTAGTGGTATATTTGTAATTTTCTAAATGCTTGTACATACATTTTCAGGTGAACGGAGAGAAGTTTTGTGAAACTTTTATAGGAGAGTAGAATTTCATGTCCTTTTTTATTATTATCCTTAAATTTATATTTTCAGAGAGACGATTAAGGATGCAATATTTCATTTTTGTGTTAAGGTAAAAATACAAAGACAATGGTGTATTTGGGTGAACAAAATTATATTGTGTTAAATAAAAATATGGTTCAGTGAAAAGCCTAGGTCAAGAGAGATATCTTAAACAGGTGCTGAACGTTTAAAAGGTTCAGCATCGTCCATAACTAAACAAGGAATGAAAACCAATGGGTTACTTACAGGTACAAAACACAGATTCCTGGGAGTTTGCATAGCAAATCTCTGGCAGTTGAAGTACCTTCAAGATAACTCCTCCAGATCTCAGCTAAGAGGCAGACAAAACATTTCCTAAATTCTAATAAGCTTCTTATTTCTACATAATCTAATCTCTGTGTAATGGAATGTTTTCTTAAAAACAAGTAGATATTTGACCATAATGATAATTATTTTGAAGTTTCCTAGGACACCATCAGGTTGTTAATTTTTCTTGCTGATAATGCAGTTGGATGGACAGTTTTGCTATTGAAAGAAAAATATATTAATAGGTAAATAGCGGACACTTTCTTGTTGCTGCAGCTTTCCATTCCCTAGTCTTTGAGGAATTGTTTTCTTTTTTAAAAGAAAAAAGAAAAACTCTGCTAGTTCAAGCAGCTTAAGGAATGAAAATCAAATCACAAATCTCATCTGATAAAAAGTTCTGCAATGACAAAAATTCTTTTAATGTTATTCTATAAAAGAAATAGAAAAAAAAAGATAGGGGAAAAAAATAAGAAGCCTGTTCCTTTGCATTGCCCGCCCCTTCCCCAAGAGAAGGGGAAAACTGACAGCATCTTAAAAAATTCATCTTTGCCGCTCTGCCGGCTACATGAAGTGGGATTTGCAAAACTGTGAAGGCAACCTTTCCGTTAGAGGACCCGGTGGGCAGTGATGTTCAGGAAGGCTGAAGCAAAACTTCCCCCTCCTTCTCCCAGTTTGCAGGCAGGCATCCTGTAGAGTGCCTGCCTGAAAACTGTACAAAATTCTGCATTTCCAGCTGAGAATGGTTCTGTTTGCATCATAATTGAGCTGGAACTTTGTCCATTCAGCTGCTGAACAGAGGCAGTGGCATGGGATGGCAAGTGTCGTGATCTGATTTGGGAGTAGCATAAACCTCTTGTGTGGAACTCAACATTTGGGAGAGGGAGGGAGGGGAAGGGGGAGAGAAAGAGAGGGAGAGAGAGAGAGAGAGAGAGAGAGAGAGAGAGAGAGACAGACACACACACACACACACACACAGAGAGAGAGAGAGAGAGAGAGAGAGAGAGACAGAGAGAATGAGAATAGACAGTCAAATGATATGTCTAGGAAATGTGAGAAATTTCAGGTCATACTAGTAGTTTCAATGACATAATGAACATGTGTTAAATAACCCTGAACCTTATTTATTTATTTGAATTATTTACATCCCGCATTTCACCACCTGATATTCAAAATTGCTCTCAAACATCAAAACCCAGTTGCTTTTAAAAACGGTATATGGTTTTCTTTTAAAAAAAACAGCAAAAAGTTATTATCTTTGAAAGGTTTGAAAAAATACTCTTGATTGAAAGCTAAAAGAGGGAAAAATACTAATTACTACATTAATATCTTTAAGTAAGAAAAATAAATTTGCATTTTAGGGTACTTCTGTCAGTTTTGTTTTTGCTCAGTTTCTTATTTTCCTGATTATAATTGTATTTTATTTCCACATTGATTTACAAATTCAGCAAACACTACACAAAACCTTGTGTATGCTTCTTCTAAAACCTATTTATAAAGTTTTCTGTCCTATAGGTGTGCAAAAACATTTATATTATGCAATGCATTATTTGTGCTGTACTTACTTTTAACCACTATTACATTTCATGAGTAGTTTTGGAACTACAAACCACATCACCAAATTTCCAAAGATATCAATTTCTGTGCACATGGATATGGAAAGATGCAATTTGGGAAATTGATTTACAAATCAGATGGCACTGATTTCTTGTCCTGCATAACTCATGGAAGCACCTGCAAAGCAGAGTCTCAGAAAAACTCAACAGATGGATAGATTCATATGGCAGAAGACTGTTGGTGGGGCCTTTAGTCCCAAAATCTTTTTCTCTATAAATGAAAATACTTAATATTGCCCAGGATCATATATACAGTCAAGCAATTAATATGAGTCATGGACAGTGGTAGGATTCAGCCGGTTCGCACCACTTTGGCGGTAGCTAATTTTTTGTTGCCCAGGCCCAGAACAGACTTCAGGAAGCAGCATCCACATAGAGAATCGGTTGTTCACTTATTTGAATACCACCACTGGTCATGGGGCAGAAGCATTTTCTTATTGGCAGACAGGATTTATTATTTACCCCTCCTACTTTTGACTGGAAGTTGCTTCATCTTTAGAAAATTAACTTCAGGAGTTTCATGCTTTAAGGTAGAAACAGGGTCATCTTAAAAATGTGGAAGTCTGTGATATGTGTTGTGATATGTTTTACCTAATCCAGGGATAGGCAACTATTTGGTATCTTGGTAATATTTTTGCAGCTTGCATGGGATGAAAAACATGAAAAAAAAAACCCAAATCGTATCTATCATATTCAAATGAGAAGGGTATGTTCTTTACTTTCTATTACCTTTTGTTCTTGTCCTGAGAAGGGGATTTTTATTTATTTTTATCCCACGTTATTATTTATATAAATTATTGAAGGCAGCAAACATATCCAACACTCTTTGTCTTCCTATTTTCCTCACAAAACCCTGTGAGGTGGGTTGGGCAGAGAGAGAGGGACTGGACCAAAGTCACTCAGCTGGCTTTCATAGCTGAAGTAAGTTTCTCACTTTCTAGCCTTGAGCTTTAACCACCAACAAAACTGGGTCTGGGTTTGTGTGTGTTAATTTTGCCCTAACTTATTTTGAAAAGGCAGCTATATAAATAATCTAAATAATAATCATAATTGTCTTTTAAAGTGTTTTTTTTAAAAAATAATAATAATATAAATATATTTTAAAGCTTGCTCAATAGCTTTTTTTTCTGCCTCAGAATAATGGTAAATTGTTGTACACAGAGGGAAAATTGCCCACTTGTGGGAAAAAAAAGCTTGAGGATTTTTCATTCTGAGTCACTTAATTCTTATTTAATTTATGGAAATATGTAGATATATCCCCGTCATCATTTGTCTGAGATTGCTGGTTTTTTTGTAAAGAAAATATGGGCTTATGACCTTTAATTTTTACTTAGTTTCTGTGATGGATAATGCATAAATGTTTGAAGGGACCAGGTAGTTTATTTTTCTTTTGCTGGTTCATATTAAATAAACATTAATGCCTCAATATTTTACAGACTCTATTTAGCCGTGAAAATTTGCTCCATTATCATGCCAACTCACTTCTTTCCATTCTCTCCCAGCTGGAGACCCTTAATGACCGATCGAATATGACTATACAGAAATGCGTGCTGTGCACCCGGTTCATCAAGCCGCAATTAGGTTCCTGAGCTTCCTAAACTGATGAGGAAGCTATTTTGTTAGCTTCCTGTGTGACTAAAAACTTTATCTGAGAATTAAGGATGGAGACTCATCCTGATTTGATTGGTGGCTCATTGGGCTCATTTTAGAGGTGGGCTTACATTATGTTAGCTGCTTTTATATACATACATACATACACTCACGCACAAGTGGAGCGAAAAAGCAAGATGACTTTATTGGATACACATCCTGCCAACAGCCTTCCAGGGAAATAACTGTTGTGCTTTGGGGTAGAAATGAGGAGAGGGAATGAGCAAAAGCATGTAACACAATGGGGTGGTTGGAAACACACGAACGAATCAACGGTTGGGGAAAAGGAGGAGGGGGGAGTAGTGACCTTAAATATCATTGAGATTACAGCAGATAGCCGTGGGCAGGTGAGGGAAATGACCGAAAAAGAGGGGGAGGAAGGAACAACGAATCTGGATGATGGGATGCATACAAAGAAAGCGATGGGCAAAAGGAAGGAGGGGGGAACAGCAGCCCTAGAAATTGGTGGTGCAATGACGGACAGCGGGGGGTGCACAAGGGAGGAGATTGGAGAAAAGAAAGTGGATAAGGGAATTGCAGCTTTAAAAACCATCAAGGGAACAGTGAGTACATGCCTTTCAAGAATGAAACAATCAGAGACATCAGATGGACCGATGACTAGGTCCAAGAGCCATGCGCAAAAACTGGCCGGTGTTATAAAAGGAAACTCCCATTGACTTGTTTCTATGCTCTGATGATGTCTTTTAAAATACTAAAAATGAAAATCCTGGGCATTATGTTAACCAGATAAAAGAAAAAACAAACACCAGGATATAATAAACCAGACTGTTTAATATAAACAAGCCTGTGGTTAAGAAGAGTCACTAAGTTTTCGTCCGGCAGCTGCTGGCGTCATCAGATTTAGAATAGAAGGAGATTGGGAAGGCAGATCATGTAGCTTCCTGTCTCTGTGCCCGGCTTCTTGAGCGCGTCATCGGCCCGTTGATCGTATTAATCCGTATCGCACAGAGTTGCTCCGCATCAGGCAAACTGTCCTTGGCTCCACTAGTTGTTTTACAATCCTCAAGTGCTCTTTTAGAGCATGTGCAAGCACTTGGAGGGCAGCTGTCAATCCGTCCCTGTGCCCAGTCTCCCTCCCACCCCCAAGGCCGTTGTCGTAATTCCTCTGCTCCAGTCCTGCAACAAGCAGCTGTTCCAGCATTCCTGCTCTCTGTCTTCCCCTTCCCTCCCCCTTCT